TGTGCTGGGAGAAGTGGATCCACTGCCGAACATCATTAATTTCTTTGATGGTCTGGGAAAAGTGGGTCCACTGCCAGACCAGATACAAAAAAACTTAAGGCCATTTGAATTCAAATCAAGTTTACATGTTGACCCCGCCGATGGTTGTCCACTACCGAACATCATCGATGTCGTTGATGTGCTGTGATATGTTCGGTAGACCTTGCCGTGGTGGCGGGGCTTTTCACTGAAGGACAACCAAACAGAAAGAAACGAACATGATGAGTGACCGTCAAAAACAGGAGTACCTGCAGGATAATACTTCGGTAACATCCCTCACCGGTTCCGATTGTCAAGCGCCTAGCTTGACCGGCCAAGGTGGCAGCCCTACTATATTGGCTCAGAGCTACTGCCAATTTCTAACGGCTCCACTCAATACTTTTTTTTACTAGGTTAATAAATTCTTAACGTTTTCATAGTAAATTACGTGCTTTCTTTATTATTTTGTAATAGATGAAAAAGTGACAGTGTTTCGACCTCATATACTTTAGATGCTTCTTTTACAATAAATATTAAAGATATTTAAAAAATTCTCTTTGTTCACCCTGCCGGAAGAATAGACTGAAATTGTACTCGGGAATTAGACTGAGAGCTCAGTGCTATTTCAGTGAAAATTTGCTGCGTTTAAGCACTAAAATTGTACTGGGAAAAATTACCTGCAAAAGGGTCGCTATAGGTATGGTGTTTATGGCCTAACCGTCATTAACCCGGTAAGAAACGAAGAATTCAACCGACAGATTGGCTCAGTCGGATAGATGCCTCGCATTGGCGGTCGTTTAAGGACCAAGGGTATAAGTACCCTTGGTTCGTGCCCACTTGGCTTGCATTTTTCCGGCACGTAAGATAATCTGAGCGGGAGGTTTGACGTCAAGGTATAATGATGTGCACTGTCAATTATTGTCCGGTACACACCATTAGAACTCGACTGTCGATAAACCGGTTGTACTCAGAGAGGTTTTCTACAGCTTTCCTCTTCTCTGGCGAGAAAACCCATTGACGGGTGGTCCAGGCGGAATGCGAGTACTCCTAATAAAGTCGGCTGTAGACGCAAATTAGGTTAATATATAAAAAATTTCAAAGTAGAATGGTTATGCTTAATCCAAAAAAATATTTCTCGGAGACTCTTGTCAAAGCGCGTAAGGCCAATAGGGCAGGAGTATAAACAATAAAAAAAAACAAAGAATTCAAAAGAATTCAAAAGTTGTATTTTTCTTAATAGGCGAATTCCCTCGGAGCTCTATTCCACGGAAACGACCAAAATTTCAGAAAAGTCTATTATTCTGAATTGAATTCACAAAAATATGAAACGCGCATTCAAAAGAATGAGAAAGTACAGCAAATCAGTAGAAATTTCTATTCCTCTGAATTAACTCACTGCCACTTAAGATTCCACTAGAAAGTGAGGTTAGGTTTTAAAACTTGACTTAAACATTTAACACTTGAAAATTTCTTTCAATATAAGAGCATTTTATATTTTAACCATATTTTCAATACCCTATATTAAAGAACCAGTAGAACCGGGTAGAATCAGGAGTAGGGTGTCCCAAAAAAATAAAAAGTTTTTTTTTATTGGGTCTCATCCCCTAAAATTCTTTCAAATTGTGTAAAAATAAGAACACAATATTTGGAAATAAAAAATTTTAATATTAACCCGTGGTTCAGAGCCTTTGAACCATAAAAACGCTAAAAATGTAGTGTTTATTTATTCTTAACATAAATATAAATGTCAAAATATAATGAATAGGGTGTCATTGTAAAGATAATTAAATTACCTTTTGATCCATATATCATAGTATAAGATTCAATGAAAAATAAGAGTGTTACAGTCGATTAAGTATCAAATTTCATGAAAATTTTGATCATTTTTATTTTTTAGACACTTAAGTAACTTGTACTTTTTTTTACATTAAACAGTAAAAAATATTTAGGTTTCAATTTTATTATTGAGAGTCTGTAACATTTCGAAAATTTTTAGCCCTTGTGGACCTCGATTTGATTGAAAATGACAATTATACACTAGATTTAGTGAACGAAACTATTTTTTTCGTTCTTATCATTCCTTCAACATTTGAAGCAAAAATTGAAACAATAAATTTAGATATAACCACTAAATGTACAGACTCTCAATAAAAAAATTAAAATCTAAATATTTTTTACTGTTTAATGTGAAAAAAATACTAGTTACTTAAGTGTCTAAATCATCAAAATTTTCATGAAATTTGATCTTTAATCAACTGTAACACTCTTAATTTTCATTGAATCTTATACTATGACATATGGATCGAAAGGTAATTTAATTATCTTTACAATGACACCCTAATCATTATATTTTGACATTTATATTTATGTTAAAAATGAAAAAACACTAAATTTTTAGCGTTTTTATGGTCCAAAGGCTCTGAACCACGGGTTAACCCTCTGCTGATGCTAACTTATCCCCACTCTATCGCCAAAGCACGTAACTCCCATAGTCCCCACCAGGCGTCCAGAATGACGATTTTTGACTATAACGGTCGTTAGCATCAGCAGAGAGTTAATATTAAAATTTTTTATTTCCAAATATTGTGTTCTTATTTTTACACAAATTGAAAGATTTTTAGGGGATGAGACCCAATAAAAAAAAACTTTTTATTTTTTTGGGACACCCTAATCAGGAGTCTACTTGCTTTGAGTTGGTTATTGTCACGTAAGTTCCAATTTCAAACCAGTAGATAAGTATTTTCAGCTGGTTTGAATTCGGAATGTCAAGTTCAAAATGAACTGGTTTCAGTTTGAACATTACAGTCAACCGGAAATTCCAAGTAGGTTACATTGTACAATATGAACTTATTTCAACTTGGATATCGATTCATAATTGGAAATCCAAGGTGGTTACAATTGAACAGATAGTTTTGAAAAAAAATATAATAAATAAATAATAAATAAATAATAATAATAAATAATAATAATAATAATAATAATAAATATAATTATAAAAGATTCTTATGACCATTAATAACTTCGTATTCTTAGCACACTCCAAACAAACAAACATTTTTATTAAACTGGAAGAATTAAATTAAAACTTGTACCCGATGGGAATCGAACCCCGCACCTATGACATATCTATCTAAACGCTTAACGACCACGGCTATCGAATCGACGTGAGATTTTTCGACCTGTCTATATAAACTGCAACTTTGAAAAACGTAAGTTTATGTAAAATATTATAATTTTTGTAAGTACCTATAAAAATACAAGCAGAATTAAAAATATTTATATAGATTTGCAATATATGCTAATATGTTAAAAATATTAATTAAATATTTAATAAGTTTCTGCTCAAATGTCATTTGACAGCGTTGTAATTTTTTGCAAAAATTTGCAAAAAATAACATTAAGCGAAATAAAAAACAAAAAATTCGTAAAAATTAAAATTCGCAAAATGACTCAACCGTGTTAATAAATTCCATTGATTTTCTAAAATGTTAAAACTTTTATGAAAATCTGTAGTTCACAACAAAGCAATAAACCACTCTTAACCGTTTTTTGAAATTTGAAATTTTTGTTATTTTTAGGGTTCCGTAAACCTACGGTGTATCGGCGGAACCCTATTGGTGAGACTCTGTTGTCCGTAGCCAAATCATGTTCCCCCCTAGCGGCTAAACTATTTGACCTAAAGAGCTCAAATTTGGTACAGATATGTATTTTCACACGTAGATTACAGGAAAAATATAGAGAATGTGTTTGGAGATTATGGTCATAGCGTTGTCAAGGAAATAACAAGATTTTTGGCCAAAAATGCATAAAAAGTGACCATTCCCCCCCCCCTTAACTTCTAAACTATTCGACATGGAGAGCTGAAATTTTGCATGCATTAATTATTTTAAGGAAGAGAGTTAAATTTTAAGAAAATAAATGAGAGGTTGTTTTCTGACTTTAATTTCTTAACTAAAAATAAAAAAAAATTGGACAAGTGCGAGTTGTACTCGCACTGCAATGGCGGGTTCCGCACACAAATATTAAAACAATACTTGTAACATTGATCGGTAATTGGTAGAATTAAAATAAACAATTATAAAAATATATTAAAATCATTTGATAAAAACAATTTATTCTTAATTATCATTAATTGTTTTTTTTAATAAAAAAAAATTAAAATTTTTTCAAAAATTTTCATTACCATCTTTTTTTTTAGTTTCGCACGCTGAAAGTGACGGGCGACAATTTACATTACGACACTTTGTTAGTGAATAATTTCTCTGAGGAAAATCAAATCAACAGAATTGATTTTATCTTCATCACACCAGAGAAATTATTCAATAACGAAACAGTGTTGAAACAATTGCGGAAGGCACATGTCTGGGGAAAATTATCGCGTGTTATAATTGATGAAGTTCACTGCATAATGGATTGGGGATGTACGTTTAGAGATTCTTATCTCAATTTAAGAAAATTGAAAAACTTGTTTTCCCAAATCCAAATTTGCGGATTTTCAGCAACAATAACACGCAATGAAATTCCCCAATTGCAAGCTACATTGAGACTCGACCAAAATTGCATAGTGTAAGTTTATTTTTATTGTTCATTTTTTATTTTAAAAATTAGATAAAAACCAATTTAATTAAAAAAAAATGTATAAAAATAATTTTTCAACATTTTTAAACAAAAAATGAAAATTAAATTTTATAACGTTAATGATATATGGAGGCAATTTTTTGTAAATTTTATCAACTTTCAATTAACAAGAATAATAAAAGGAAAAAAAAATTTATAAAAATAATTTTACAACATTTTTAAATAAAAAATGAAATTTTTTTTTAAAAACTTGATATTCACAATGAAAATTATAAAATTTTAGTAAAATAAAATTTTTTTTTAAAAATATTTCCAGATTATTTGCAGATTTGTTTAGGGCGAATTTAAAATATTTGCTAAGTTTCAACATCAAAAAAGAGAACCGAGGGACAGAAACAATTCGATTGATGCGAGATAGATATAATAATGGGGGATCGGGTATTATTTATTGTGGAACAATTGAAGATACTGTACTATATCGTCAATTCCTGAGAAATAATGGCTATTCGTGTGAGGTATATCATGCAAGATTGCCGACACAAGATAAGAAGACAATTTTCCTTGCTTGGAAGGAAAATCGTATTCAAGTTTTGTGCGCGACAATAGCATTAGGTATGGGTATTGATAAACCAAACACTCGATTTGTTATCAATTCGACAATTTCCAATTCTTTGGCAAATTATTGTCAAGAATCGGGAAGAGTTGGTCGCGATAACATTCCGAGTGATTGCATTTTATTTTATCACTACGAGGATGTCTTCACAAAAATGAAATTATTTATTAAAGATCATACTTATAGTGCGGATTTAAAAAATAAATATTTAAATGAATTGCTCTTATTATTATCATATTGTGAAAATCAACAGCAATGTCGTTATAAATTTATAATTAATCATTTCGATCCTCTTTCCCAAAAATCAATAGATTTAAATTGGCAATGTCACAAATGTGATATTTGTAGAAATTTATTTCTTATAGATAAGGAACGTATTGACGTTTCCAAATTGGCAAGTGAGATGAAAAATTTAATTATAAATTTACAAAACAATTATAATAATAATGAGAGACTCTCTATTAAAGATTTTGTGCCTTTTTTATTGGGGAAGACGACAACGACAAACAGACTGTCGCACTTGCGTCAATCTGAATGTTTCGCTTCTCTCTGTTCTTGGAAAGATGGGCAAATTTGGCGATTATTATTCACTCTATTGGGTTATGGTGTATTTTCTTTAGAATTTTCACCTTACCCAATGGAAAGAAATTCCCTTAATTCAATTCATTCAGTGATGATCGCTGCAGCAAAGAATGCTATTACACCACAACCTCCCATGTTGATCGAGCATTATCATCATGTTGCCAATAATGTCGCCCTAGCCGTTCCCATCGCAGCAGTCAATCATCCTCCTCAACAACAACAACAACAACAAGAACCACAGCAGCAGCAACCGCCGCAACCACAGCCAATAATTATTGAGGAGGATGATAATCATATTGGAAATGAGGAGTTGCCCATAAATGTAAGTTTTAAATTTTAAATTTAAAAACAAATTTTTAAAATTAAAAAAAAAAATTTAAATATCCAACCTATATTTATATTATTATTTTTTACTTCTTTACAGATTCATCTTTTCATTACCAGAAAAGAATAATTATGATTATTTTCGGGAAAACTCACCAAAAATTCTTAGTAGCTTATGCTACAAAGACTTATCTGCGATGGGTAATGCATTGTCTGTAAACGAATTCGACGAGCAAACGTACTTTGTACGTAATCATCGTAGATTACGTGCATTGGCAAAGGAACTTTCTGTGACGGCTTGATATAGATAATTTATTATTAAATACAAAAGAGGTTATAATGCTATGAGCATTAATGGAGATCGGCCCCAACAACCACAACCACCGCGGGCCCCCCCAGCAATTGTTGATGCCAATGCTGCTGCTGCTGCTTCACCAATACTTGTTGAACCACCACCACCAACAGCAGCATTTACAATAACAACAACAACAGCAGCAGTACCTGACAATACAATTCGATTAGTAACAACAACAACATCTCAATTTGCTATGCAACCAATAGTTTTACTCGAAAATATATTACCAACAATTGCTGGTCCCTTACGTCCTCGTCATCATGAAAAAAGTGAAAAAAAATTTTAAAAAATATGCCCTGGACGTCGAAGACTATTACTATACTCTTCAAATAGTAGTAGTAGTAGTAGTGACAACGACGACGATAGTGATTAGAGAAAAAGAGAGAAAGTAGTGATGACGAAAACAATGACGTGTAGTGGAGTGTGAGTTGTGGTTTTTAAAAAAAAACAATATAATTAAATATTAAATAATTTTTTGTTTGTATATTAATTTTTTTATGTAAAAATTTTTACATGTATTTATTGTATTTTGTGTGTGTGTGTGTACATACATATATATATATATATATATATAAATTAATTTTCAAAAAATATGAAAAAAAGAAAAATCATAAAAAAATAATTATAATTAAATAAAAGCCATGTTTTTTTTAAATTAAAAAAAAAATTTCTTTTATTTATTTCACAATATACAAATTTTTATTTGGAAAAAAAACAAAATTTAATTTAAAAGAAGAATTATTATTACAAGTTTTAACAATATTCAATAATAATAATAATAATAATAATATAAATTATTCAATTTTTCTTCATTTCCAAAAAACACACACAAATTTTAACATTTTTTCTCCAAAAAATTATAATACATAAATTTTAATTGATTAATGTATAATAAATTATTCAAAAGTTTGACGTAGATAAAGACATTTTTGTTTTCAAAAATAAACATAATAATAAATAATACATACAAACATATAATAAACACAATCATTAGACAATATTTTTTTTAACGTAAGTCTTTTTTTAAATTCTCATTTTTGCTGAGAGAATATTAACAGAAAAATTTTTACTTAATTAATTAAAACAAAAATTAATTCATTATTTTTTAATATTTAAATAATAATGAATTTTAACGAAAAATTTGAACAAATTTCAAACAAAAAAAGAAAATGAAATTAATAACAAAATTAAATATACAAAAATGGAAAAAAAATAAAAAAAAAAAATTTACAAACAAAACTAACTTTTTTCAATTAAATAACAAAAAAAAAAATTTTACAACAACAACAATATACAAGAAGAACAAGATGAAAAAGATTTTTTAAACATGAACACAACACATTCACTTATCATAAAATTTTTTTAACATTGAATATAGAACTCTTCGTCATCCGTACTGTCACTGTCATCAATAATTGAAAAAAATGAACTATCATCACTACTGCTGTCATCATTATTTTGAATATCGTTGTCTTTATCGTCGTTGTCATTGTCCTTAATTTTATTTTTATTATTTTTAATATCATTTTTGTGGTCGTCGTCATCATCGTCAGTACTATCGAAAATAATATTTTTTTTTCATTTTAATATTTCTATTGTAATCAGTGTTGTCATTGTCAATTGCTTTTCGCTTTTTATTTGTCTTTTTAAATGATGATGTTGATGTACCACTTGCAATTTCTTCATGTTCGTTTTTACTCAAAGAATTCTTTGGCACTAATTTTTGCAGGTAGAATGAAAAAAATTTCTGAAATAAAAAAAATGAGGACAATTCACCAACCGGAAGTTGATATCTTGTATACAAGAAAACTTATGGCCATTTGAATTCAAATCAAGTTTACATGTTGACCCTGCCGATGGTTGTCCACTACCGAACATCATCGATGTCTTTGATGTGCTGGGAGAAGTGGATCCACTGCCGAACATCATTAATTTCTTTGATGGTCTGGGAAAAGTGGGTCCACTGCCAGACCAGATACAAAAAAACTTAATGCCATTTGAATTCAAATCAAGTTTACATGTTGACCCCGCCGATGGTTGTCCACTACCGAACATCATCGATGTCGTTGATGTTCTGTGATATGTTCGGTAGACCTTACCGTGGTGGCGGGGCTTTTCACTAAAGGACAACCAAACAGAAAGAAACGAACATGATGAGTGACCGTCAAAAACAGGAGTACCTGCAGGATAATACTTCGGTAACATCCCTCACCGGTTCCGATTGTCAAGCGCCCAGCTTGACCGGCCAAGGTGGCAGCCCTACTATATTGGCTCAGAGCTACTGCCAATTTCTAACGGCTCCACTCAATACTTTTTTTTACTGGGTTAATAAATTCTTAACGTTTTCATAGTAAATTACGTGCTTTCTTTATTATTTTGTAATAGATGAAAAAGTGACAGTGTTTCGACCTCATATACTTTAGATGCTTCTTTTACAATAAATATTAAAGATATTTAAAAAATTCTCTTTGTTCACCCTGCCGGAAGAATAGACTGAAATTGTACTGGGGAATTAGACTGAGAGCTCAGTGCTATTTCAGTAAAAATTTGCTGCGTTTAAGCACTAAAATTGTACTGGGAAAAATTACCTGCAAAAGGGTCGCTATAGGTATGGTGTTTATGGCCTAACCGTCATTAACCCGGTAAGAAACGAAGAATTCAACCAACAGATTGGCTCAGTCGGATAGATGCCTCGCATTGGCGGTCGTTTAAGGACCAAGGGTATAAGTACCCTTGGTTCGTGCCCACTTTGCTTGCATTTTTCCGGCACGTGAGATAATCTGAGCGGGAGGTTTGACGTCGAGGTAGAATGATGTGCACTGTCAATTATTGTCCGGTACACACCATTAGAACTCGACTGTCGATAAACCGGTTGTACTCAGAGAGGTTTTCTACAGCTTTCCTCTTATAACGGGACTTTTAAATAGAAAATTAAATAATAAATTAAAGAAGATAGCTATTGCATCGTAGTCCCGAAATTCGATATTTAACCAACTCTAAGTCGCGACTAAACTCTAAAATAAACACACAAAAAAGGTCTCAACAAAACAACGCTAACAAAAACGAAAGACAAATTAAAATAAAACAAAGGGAGGAACTGCTGAGAACACGATCGACGATGCATCGATCTCCAGTCAAAAATACAATCAAACCTGCGATGAAAACTCTCGCCAACAACCAACGGCGTCCTTTCTGCAACGGCTTTCCGGCGACTCCAAGAAATAAAGTTCAGAAAGACTCAATAAAACGCTTAAAAATTCACTAAACTATTATAACTTTATTTTAGAAAATTAAATTAAGAAAAATACAATCAAAATTTATAAATCAAAATTAAATGAAAATTAATATAAATTCTTAAGAAATGCTCAATTTGGAAAAACTCGACCAGCTCGTAACACTTGCTTGCGAATAATGATTTCTTAATTTATGAACTGGAACCACGAACTTCTCAGAAGCCTGCATTCAATCTCGCAAAATCCTCTTCGTCCAATCCTCGCCGAATTTCCATAAATCAACTCCCTTCCATCAATGAAACACCTGTAAGAAAGGGGGAAAAAGGGTCGCTACTCGTCGTTTGATGTACTACGTCACATCGAACATGCGCAACGTTAGATTCAACTAGTCTCTAAGCAAAACGAACACCCGGCTCGCAACGACACTATAGCAAAAACAGAAAAACTGCGACAGACAGAACGACCACGAGAGAGAAACCACTCTCACTCACTATAGCAAACGAACGAGGAAAGTCTCGGTCTCTAAAATTATTATAAGTAACGATTCACATCGTTACAATCCCCTTCCCTAGGCCAAAGTTATTACCAATAATTTTGCCGAAAAGAAAAGAAAATTCAAAAATTCACACAGCATGAAAAATAATCTCTCGGTCACTACTTCAAAGGAAAAAGATCTCCGCTCGACTGAGTTTCCTCTGAAAACTGACTCTCCTTTACCAGATTAGGAAAAGAACACAAAATAAAACACAAAAAAAAAACTCTAATTGACTCGTTTATTTCATTTCCTTCAAAGGCAAATTACAGCACATCACTGCTGGCTCTCCCAAAATTTGATCTTGATTTCCCGCGCCATCTCAGGTGGAAGATCTCGGACAAACCTCTCGAGACTCATAATCTGCTCTATGAGAGGCCTCGTTTCCACCGAACCGCGGCTAGTACTAGGCTGAGGGCCAAGACGATCCCCCAAAGGTGCAACAAGACGGCCCCGGGCAGAAGGGATTCCAAATGCACACGGGACACGATCACTAGAGGGGGGTGACTCACGCCGGTCACTACCACGACGCTGCCTCCAATAAGCATCTCGACAACGAGGGCAATTCGACATTCGCACCTCCCTACGGCCACAATTATTACAGAAAGTACCCAAAGGCCTGGTGCAATTACGGAAGCGATGCCCTCGCTGCCAACAATTGTGGCAAACACCTGGAGGAGGGTCCAAAGAAGGATCCGTGGGAATGGAAACCAAATCCGAAAATAAACGGCCTGTCATCAATGTCGGCGACGGGGGTGGGGGTCGAACAGGGGACGGTCTCAAAGACATTAAAGGAGGCGGGTCAAGAGGGGAACCTGCTCCACTAGAAGAGGACGAGATAGGGAAAAACTCCTGGGAAGGAGACATACGATCCAACACAGAGCCCGGCGACGACACCTGAACTGACTCCTGGTCAACAGCAAACGACGTCGGGTCTGTAACAGGTGGGGGAGCATGTCGGGGCAAACCCGAGTTTGTGGAAGCCGCAGGGATGAGGTCGTCCATCCGCTGGCTGCTGACGTAATCCCAATCGCTCTGGGGCCTACGTCTCTCCACCACTGGTCTCTCCACCGGAACAAAAACCCGAGCCTCAGCCGCCTCACTTTCCTGTAAGGTCTGCTCTAATTCCATCACCGCCAACCAACTCTCGAACTCAACCGGGTCCTCGGGAGGAATTTGTAAATTTTCCTCGCCCTCCGGCACCGGTCGGCCCGACCAGTCCTCCCACTCATTCTCCAGTAAGGGCGGAACCGACTCCAGGGGCAA